TCCTGGCCCTACTACTAAGAACAAGAAGCTACTAGGAGCAAGGACGCATGCCCAGTGTGCGACTCGGAGACTCTGAGTTTGAAACGCTCTGCGCCGCAAACCGCAGCATGGCCATGGCTGGCAACCCCACACATCAGGCGTGAGGCTCAGGGACAAGAATGGAATGAAAACACCCTAATTAGCTGTGTGAAAACAGGACATGTAAGTTGCAGATCATATTGAACGGCGCCCCACAAATGGAGTTCGCAACACTTGGTTCTTTTCAAAACCCAAGGTGTGCATGAAGTTGCAGGTTTTAAATCATTGCGACGTGATGCAGGTGCACCTTGAATCATCTTCGACAACTAATTATGCATGAAGCCAGGTGTGCTGCATCAACAGTCAAGCTGCCAAATACCATGCTACTCGAAGCCATGTGAAGCTGCACACAGCTAGCGATGACCAAACATACGGTGCAGTGCAACAATGCCAAAAGCAACACCGTCAAGTCAAGAATGCACATTCTTTGCTTTAACTTATTGTCTTGAAAGCAAACCCGCCACTTGCACAATAGATCACAAATGCTGGCAAGTGCTTTGCTGTATTGGCTAAGTGGAAAAGTTCACCTGTTTGATTGTTCTGCAGGGGCTCGCGGTTTGCCATTGTCTTGATCTCCCAGCATCTACCACATTACCGAATGAGAATCTGGATGAGGTCTGAAGTCTGAAACAAAGAGAAGGGTGCGGAGCCAAAGCAAAGCACAAGGCCACTAGACTGTTAACCCTCATCTTCGTGTTTGTGACTGAATTTCCACAAGGGAACTTGGACAGACCTTTGACAAATACATTCTCAAAATATGCTACGACCGTACGACCCAACACAATCCAATGCAAAGTGCTTCCAGACCTTCCAATTCAAAGGTCGACATTTATGTTTATTGAGTCCTTGGCCATTGGCAGTCGTGTCCACAGCCTCTAGTGACCGCATTCTTGGAGAAGCCAGTCATGAGACCAGGACTTGGAGAGCATAGAAAGAGCAAATGATGTGGAAAGGGATAGTTTACGGAGTTATATGGAGTTATCTTGAGAAGGATTCAGGATTTCAAGAATGCAACCGCAGGGGCCTGCAACAGGTCGGTTGTTGATGGAGAGGGAGATAGCAGCAGCTGTTGTTGACTCTGCTGTTGCCGCTCTTGCTTGCATGCCAGTGGCGGTTAAAACTAAGGGGAGTTGCCAAGCTTCATACTTCCCAGTACATGGTCCAAAATGTGCTGGAGGTTCTCGTGGCTTCTTTAGCCCTAGCAAAATGCAATAGGGGTCTCGTCCGAAAACCCTAGCCTAGAGTTTCAAGTCATACTTACTCATAGAGAGCTTCAAGTCATGTTTAAACTTGCACATGCTTCGAGCCACATCGAGCCACCGAAGCTTCAAAGGCTAGCGAAAAACGACTACAAACACTAATTCACCGCAAATGAAAGGTTGACGAAAAGCGTTCAGCAGGAATTTAGGACAACCCCCACATGGCGTAATGTTCGGGTGGAAGTCCCATTGGGAGGTTCAGTGGTTCTTGACATTAGATCATTAGGTATGCGGCGGACTCATTGCATACGCTTGCTTGCGCAATCTTGCACAGGATACTGTATGGAGCAGATCGCCGTGCACATATTAGAGCAGGAGTGATGCCTCCACGGTTCCACGATGTTCTAAAGCAAGCTTGAACTGTTCCTGCAAGCATGCTAATTAGATAGAAAAGAGTTCCGCATTGTGTAACAGCTGCGCTCTTGATTCTTTGGCGGCGCTTCACTTCCATGACATTGATGCTGCAGACACCCCATGCAGGGGAGAGCACCTGTTCGAACATGCTTGACATGTTTTAGGAAACAAGCTTGGCAAATGTCGACATCAGACATCTGAACCATGCTGACTTGATGAAGAGTACACCCAAAGTAGAGAGAGAAAAAATGAGAAAAGCGCAAGCCCCTTAAATACCCGCAGCCATATATTCTTGCCTTGCACTGCTCAATTGACTCAATTCTATCTGAAGCATGTTGCGATGTTGTAGTATCAGTTCCAATTCCATTCTGTCGAGTAGCAATTGAACGCTGCCTATTGCCACAACCAAGCCGGCACATCAATCCAATGGAGATATGCAGGATTAATCAGTCACAAGAAGAGACAAAGCCAAAAAGCCAAAACCACAAAGACCACAACAGCAAATACAACAACCTGCATATACTGTATTGTGTTTAGTTTACATTTGGTTCCGGTCGACTTTGTCTTGGCTTTGTTCACTTATGCAATAAACATGCATTTTCTCAGCTTGAGTTTGAAAGCAAGCAAGCAAATCAAAGAGCTTTCGTGAAAGACTCTTCACAAAAACCAAGGCTCCTGCAACGCATGATGAGGGTATGTCCGCGAAAGCCATTGCCCTTGTCGCGAGTACAGTCAGTGCCCTCCAAACAATTGAGTTCTTGCTGCCAATCGGTGCATGAGTATTGCAAGGTGCAAGTATGTATACCTGAACATTGACTTGCCCACGTCAAAGAAATTGGAATTAACTATATACACATAACTATAGTTTTTTAAACACACATATATATATACATATTGTGAATTGACGTGTACTGCACTCCTAAATGCAATCCTTTTTATGGATTGGGTAAAGCAAGGAAATAAATGACAGGGAATCCCAAGCACACTTATTGCCAAGTCGCTCGAAAAGGCGCAGTTGCTTGGCCTAGTGCCGTACTCGTACCGACTTCACATGCAACAGCCCTGACGTTTGCCTAAGTTTGCTTCGATACAGAGCATGGATCTTGGGTCAAAGCAGACGTTACAGATGATCCTTTTGCAGCAGCATGGTGAGTTCGTGACACCTGGCCCAGAACAAGACTGTAGGGGCTGTGGGGTGCAACGTGTCGCGCACATGGTCTTCATGGCCTCGGGAATGATGCATTCCTTGTCGAAGGTCCTAAATGCTACCTCTGGCATGTGCTACGAAAGCCACCCAAGTGTCAGTCATATCTGAGTAAGACGTTCCACTTGCAAAGTCCGAGATCATCACCCGCATCCAATAATCCCAACCTAGTGAGAATGGGCTGAGCTACTGTGACAGCAAGACATGCAGGAGTGAGACGGCATACTTGGCTGACTAAGACTTTGCAACACATCTCGCCATGCAAAGTCGTGCAAAGTGCCACACCCATGGTTGGAGCAATTGGCCATTCCTACAGAAATCGTCCAAAATCCAGTCTGGTTGGGTGCACTCCAAAGAGTCATTTGTGCAAGTGGGCTGGCAAGTCCAATTCGTGTTGATTGGCCTCACATGATCCTAACAGCCCCACTTTCGGCCTCGCGAATTTGTAGCCAGGCTTTTCGGGTCAGCAAGAAACCAAGACCTCAGAAGCAACTTTGATCAAACTTGCTTCCGTTATTCAACCACAGATTAAACAGCAGCATTCAAAGTAGCGGGCATACAGGCAAAATTAAAACTAGTCAAAATGTTAATCCTCTGATTGCCAAATATTGGCAGTGTTATCGGTGGGTAAAGAAATTGGAAGCTTTGGAGTGAGTTCAGGAAACAGCACACCAGCCTGGGAAGTAAGTGGTGCGCAGCAAGCGGCAAGGATCTGAAGCTGTACCCTGAGTGAGGCCCATTTGAGGTATACTTGAGGGACCGATCGCCGGTTTGGCCTTGAAGCCGAAGTCATTCCATCCACTTATGCACCAAAGACTTGGATCCTTGACAGGAAACGTGTAGAAAACAAAACACACCTAGAGACTCTAAAGATATCTAAAGATCGTGTTCTTCCTTGTGCACAAGGTTTATAAACCACTCTTGTGCAGGGTTTTCATGGGTATTCGTGGGCGCATACGACGACTGATGTAGTGTAAGTTGTTAAAGTGAATACAATCAAGAAGTGTTCACTCCAATGCTCGAAGAGCAAAAGCACATGAAGAACCGTTGCCAAGCAATGGCGAACAAGTCATGTGTCCGACAGCCATGGAGGCATGAGTATTCATGCAGCCGGCGCTAGCCTAGTCCAACTCTCTGACATTACATCCCACTAGTAGCGCATTCAAGGAAGGTGCACTGGAGGGTCACCTTTTTGACGTGGCTGGGAAGACTGTGAAACATATTACGGCTGGTTTCTTCAGGATTTATCAATCCCTTTGCAGGATTGGCTGCAGTTTTTTTGGCAAAGCCGTCATTAATCAGGAGACACATTACACTGGCATAGTGAACAACTGCATTGACACTGGTGGACCCCAATTCTGAACAATGGACTACCAAATGCCTAGGCATCTTGTTCTTATCAAAAGGAAATACCTTGTCCTGCTCCAAAAGACCAGCAGTACCTGGCATGAGCATCGAATCAGTTCTCCGTTAATTCCAGCACACAACGTACACCTTGTAGAATATCTTTTCATGGCACGCAAACATCCGCTTGGCAAGCAATCATGCAACTTTTTGGGTGGGCACTCCGAAAGAGTGCCAAGAAATCTGGCGAAAACACAAGATCTTCTTCAACCTTCCAGCACAAGAACAAACAATCCAGCTCTAGTGCTTCAACACAATTGATACTTATGAAATTAAGGGGCGCACGAATACTGCAGCCTCAAATTTCTTGTCCATAAAGGCCCTTCACAGCAAGGCGCAATGGACATTTTTGCTCACACATCTTCAACTGTTCACCAAAAAATGCTTGATATATTGGAAGAGGCCTTGCCTTTCAAATGCTACCCAATAGTGATGAGCAATCTTGCCGGTGTTCATTCCAAACCATTTGATGACCTCCTGAATGTTAGCAAGCATCCGTACACAAACAAAATGACATGCTCTTGATTCTTGATGTTTGCTTCGGGCCCCAGTCCTTAGTTAGGTTAGTGGTGCTTGGTCAAAGCATACTTCCATTTGTGTCACAATATGGGGAGCCTCTACACCAAAATACAAATACTAGAAACACTGTGTTTGCAACGAACGCATTGAATGTTGCATGACTGTGCAAACTTCTCCCAAGAGTCATATCCTCTCAAGTATATAATAATCTCCCATAGAAACACGATAAAGATCGATAGAGTATGTGTATAAAGTATATCAGTATGTATGAGTACAGTGCTATGGAAAACATATTTTGGTACGGCATTGCTTCACGGTTCCTTGGCCGCAAAAGAAAAGGAATGCTGGGTTAAAGATCACCTTCGACTGCTTTCCGAGGTGAGAACAGTATCAACACCCCGTGTTACCAAGACCAAGAGTTGCAGGACATGCAATCATTCACACTGCTCCCCACACATTGTTCTGAGCGTAAGTTTCTGGCAAACAACACACAATACATTCATCATCACCTTTATTTCATTTCAGCAAAATGCATCGAACAGTCTATTCTACACAATTATACAGCCAGCACATCTACCTTGGCACTTGCATGACGGCTTACCATACTGGAATTTATGAGTTTCGTCAAGGCGGTGAAGCAACGAAAATGCAAAAAGTGAGTCCAAACATTCTAAACCAGCAACATAAACAAAGTAGCTTCCTGCAATACCAGCAAGGAAATTGTAAAACAATGGATCTGCAACAGGTCAGGTCAGTGTCCTGGTTGTGGACTTCAGGATCTGCGACTCGCGCACTGGCCTCCAAACATACCAAATCACCGACTGGCTCTGATTTGGTTCAGCACCTTCCAGATTTCTACGTCCATATTGTGGGCGGCAGCAACCTCGGTTCGAGTTGGTAGGAATAGAAACAAGCTGCAACCTCGGTTGGTTGTCCACTATGGCCAAGGCTCTTTTTGCGCAGCCTTCCATCATCGTGAAAGCTGCAGGATCATCCAAGGACACATGCAGCCGAAAGAGAGAAGCCTGAAAAGTCTAGGCGGGCACTCTCTCGCCCTCTCTCCCTAGCCCGAGCGATTGAAGTGTCGGACAAAGCCTCAGCTGTCGATCGATGCCAGGTGAATCGAACAGTGGAGAAGTGGAGAAGGAAACCAAAGGCAACCGATCATGTGAAGGACAGCTCGCTAGTTAGTTCAAAACACCGATGCTGAGGCGCTTGATGTTGCAATGCCGACAACTGAGACATGTCATATGCTGATGCATGGATGCGACAGCAATATTCAGGTTGGATGAACACGCATGCTCTGAAACCAACAATGGCCCAGTATGCCCATCACTGCAGTGATACACTACCATTGGGCTCGTTGAAGCAAATACACTACCAGTACGATGCTGCCCACCTCAGGCATGGCCAGCAAAGATCCCAAGCAAGATCTGACAGCCGCACAAAATCACTTTAGGGATCCCCCTTAGAATTTCAAGGTGAACTTGGGTGGACCATTCTCTAACTAGAAAAACGGGGCATTCACTTTTGTCTATTTATAAATGGTTATGGCCAGGTAAAAACGCTATCTAGAAAATGCTAGGCATTCTAGAAAAGCAAGAAACCAAGACCTTATCTTCATGATGTGTTGCCTCTCTAGGGAAAGGTCTTGTACAGGTTTCCATCGTGCGTTGAATCAAACAAGTGCAAAACCAGAAGTGCATTTTCTAGAGGCGCCATGGAAAGGGATGGTTGAAATAACCATTGCCTAGAGATTTTCAGTTATCGTTATCAATGAAAATGATGAAACAATATCAAGCAACCAATTTCTAGAGCGTAAGATCTTGTACAATCATTCATGTACAATCGATTACATTCATATACAATCAGCTACATTCAGCTACAATCATATATTCAATTATATTAAATCATGTTCATATATTTTCTTTGGCGTGCACATACATACACGACACAGCAAATTGTTCTCTTCCACTCAATCTGTGTTCCGAGTTTTCAGGACAATAATTTTGCTCTTGTACCTATTTTCGTATCCCATTATTTTCATCACAAGACAGCTATAGATGTCCTCCAGGAATTGGTAAGGTACGGTAAAACAAAGGATTGTATCATCCATTAAAAAGCTGCTTTATAGAAAACGGTGGGGCTCCAACAATATATGACTAGAGAATGACCCCCTTCTCTACGGGACTTGGGTCCAACCATCTCTTAGGGAAATTCTGAGGGGGATCTTTAGGGTGTTTCAAAAATTACAGCTGAGTACGGTTGTCGCGCCAGGAGAATTCATATCACCCAGTTTGCTGAAAATATAGTCTGGGCAGGGGTCTATCCGTTTGAGTTCTCTTGCCTTGTTCTTTACCTGCTTCCGACAACGTCTAAATGCTTTGGTTCTGAACAATTACATACTAAGGTTTCACCGTCTTGAACGCCCTTCTCATGACGAAATTACTGTGGACTGTAAACTAAAGTACCAAACTTTTAAAGTCCAGTCGGTCGGTTTTTTCATTATTTGACTTCTCTCATTATATCCTTACAGTTATTGACATGTCCTGGCTCGAGCCTGAGCTCATTCTCGCGATTGTGCGCAAGAATCACCTGGGTGGCTGGCAACTTGGGTGGGAAACGCGATGAGGTAAAAAGAATATTTCATTGTAAGTATGTGTTATGTATTAATATATATCTATCATATATATATACATATGTGGGCTCTATGTTGCCTACCCCGTGCACCCTGACACAGGGAGAGAGGTGACAGGAACGCATGGGACGCGCCAGCCATGGTCTACTCACAACATATATATATCATATAGCAGATCAATCAAAGAAATCCAATGAGATGCAGGGGTGCACTTGAAGCAAAGTACATTCATATACAATTTCTCTTCCCGGTGTCCACCGAAGCATCAGAGTGGAGATGAGTATATAAATCGGATCTGGTCAAAGTGTCTTCTTCCAAAAATGGCTGAATGAGGGCCCGCTACATATTCTTTACTTTTGGCACACACAGCTGGTTAATGAAGGGAGCATTGACCAATCAAGTGTTGCACCAAGTTGTGAGAGGTGTCACTAGCGCTGCACCGGCTTCAGCTGCTCCCCGAGAATGTTGAACCGTTGCTGTCTGAACTCTGTGCCTTTTCAAGCAACGTTTGAATGAAACAAAAGACGTGTTGCAAGTCAGCCTTGGAAGGGTCCATGCTGCAATCTGGCAATGTTTGCTAGCGCGGATCTAGCGCAGTGCTAGCGCGCGGCTAGCGCATTTTTTAGCCAGCCACTTTTCAATACCTGACGACGTTCTGAACATGTCCTAAGTCAAACACTAGCGCAAGTCTACCACAAACCTAGCGCCCAGCTGCAGAGTAGGTGTGTTTAGCTGGGGGCCCGCTACATAATCTAATTGAAAAAACACCATCATAAGCTACTTTCGACCACTTTATCTATTTTTTTGATCATAGACTTTTTGCCGGACTCCAAAGACGTTTTTTGGAAATCGTCTGCCCTGAATGGAAGAGATTAACAAGGCACAAATGCTTCAGGGCGTCCAATCCCCGCTTGTACTTAATCATACACCGGATTTGCAAATACATGGCGTTCTCTTCTGAACGATGGGAGAAGCAAGTGAGTACAGGGTGGTGTTAACGTTTCCAGCAACGGAGAGAGGCATTGGCCAACAGGTGACTGTGGTATAGACAGAAAGCAGGTAGAAAGGAAATGCAAAGATACATCGCAGAGCTTTCTACAACATGTGAGGAGAGATGCATCTCGTCAAAACGGTCTCGTCTGGATACAGTAAGTGTGACTGCTTGACATAAGTAACTCGGTTTCCACGCAATCGCAGTACCATGCAAGTCTTTGGCAAATGGATTTGGAGCCTTCCATTCAGCTGTCTCCTTGTGCCGAATCCAGTGCTGCTTGGCCCGTGTACAAACTGCAAAGAACGAAGGCTCTCCTCGTCACAATTGCTGGCCTCCAGCTTGCACTCCTTCACGAACCTGGGTATTTACACCAGGCTGGGAATCTGAGACACATGTCTTAGTCATGGCTTTTGATGACTAGGAGCAAGAACGCTGTTAGGGGCTCCTGGCCGTACTACCAGTAACAAGGACGCTACAAGGGGCTCCTGGCCGTACTACTAGTAACAAGGACGCTACTAGGGGCTCCTGGCATCGCTACTAGGAGCAAGAACGCTATTGAAATGTCACCGATGTTACGGATTCTCTTGTTCAGCTTCTGGCGATACTTCCTTCGTCGGTGACTTCTTGGGTGCGTGTGAAGCCCTGAGAAAAAGCAAAAAGAGTAGTCATACTTTAGTCACATGTCAACATCAATGATACGACTGCCCTTATCACCTAGCTATGGCTTCCAGTTCATCCAGCCTTGCTGTGCACATGGCCTGGCGAAAAAATTATATGCAATTTACAGTAGAGCTCTCGTTAGCCCAAACACCCAAGCACTTCCGACAGTTCGGCTTCCCTCAAACAGTGGTGAGCAACCAGAAGTGCATCTCGAGGAGTGGTATCAACTGCTAACTGCTCGACCGACCAATCTGTCGGTCATCATATAATATGGCCTCTTCAATGCCTCTGGGAGAGAAAGAGCAAGTGACTCCACCACAGGATGGACCTGGACAAGTGACATTTTTCATTCAGGCAGGTCAGCCTTGTACTTGCTTTGTGGTCCCTTTGTGGTGCAAACCCTGCTGACCATAACCAAACATGCAGAGGTGGCCAAACTCGATGCAAAAGTCCTTCATGTCCGAAAGCCTGCACTCGTGCTTGTCACCAAAAAGAGAACCCATGGTAATCCAGCACTTTAAAGAAAAGCTACGCCGCTATGTATGACGCTACTAGGGGCTCCTGGCTCCTGGCATCGCTACTAGGAGCACTTGAAACATCTTGAGCCTCTGGACCGGGGATGGACAACAAAATCCGAGGCCTGCTTGGACCAGTGCCGACCAAATCGGAGAGGAACACGTCTTGGAGCTCTTTCCATGTACAACCTCACCGCAGCTGATATAACACACATATATATATACAGTATATATTTATATCTATGTGTACACACACTCACTACCTATATTACATATGCTGCTGTAGTGTCCTTGACTTTGTTTGATCTTTCTTGCCCCTGTCCTCCTCCTACAGTCTCCTAGTCTTCAAGAGCCTGTCCTTTTGAGACTGAGACTGTAGATACCAAACTTGGGGCTTTTGGCCGATCGGACATGACTTCGGACTAGTTGTAATGTATTTGCACACATTTAGTCATATTGTATATCTGCAACTCAGTATGTAGATCAGTTAGTCTTGGAAACAAGTATACTACTCAGCTCAATATACAATACCAAGTGGTTTAACAAGTGTAAGACTGATCATCTACTGTATTGTCGTTAATCAACTTCTAAGTGCCAAGCTTTGTGTAGGACCTCTCAGTGATGTTGGCCTCATCTTCCAAAAAACATGTCTAATCGGATGATGATGCATCAAAGAGCTTCTTGATGCTTCTTGGGGAGTTGCATTGGACCTTGGAGCTTGTTCCCACAAATAGGACCTGGCACATACATCAAAAATACTCTTCTCGTCCACCTTTTTCCACACTAGCTAGAGCTGAACTGAAGTATATATATCCGCGGATTGAGAGTAGACTGAATTAAGATAGCAGCTGCACATGCTCGTGATGCAGGTGGAACAAACTCTGTGGCATCTGTGCTGCGAAGTTCAGGAGTTGGCGCCTGCCAATCCATTGTGGAGATAGACAGTACAACTCACAATATGTGTGTTCTAGAACGCCTGGCAACAGAAACATTGTAAATCTCCAAAGACTCCAAAAGTGCCTTGGTTGTACGTTCTGTCATCGCTTCCAGATCTTTTCCAGTTGAGGAATGCTGCTGACTCGGACCGGGAACGGGTCCTTCACAGCCACAGTTTTGCAACCAGACATGTGTATTGCAGAGTCCCACTGGAGATGTCCTGAATGCTCCGGTCTATCGTATAGTCTGGAGAAATCGATATCGCTGAACTCCTGGGAAGCGAGGCCACAAGAAGCAAAACATGCAAGCTCATCCGAGGGTTCATCCACAGATTGGTGTCACTGAGGGCCAATCTTCATCAAAAGGAGGTTGCCGCCACAACTGGCGAAAGTAGCCTCAAGAAAATGCAAGTTTGCTGCCAGCAGACTGAGCACTCAGCAGAGATGCTAAGGAAAGGCCAAATGGTGTGCTTGTTTGTGTGTGTGTGTCACCTGCTGTTCCTAAGGAGCTCCAAACCACCACTGTTCCCACCACTTTAACTCATCCTTACCTAGAACTCTAAGTAAAGCTCAAGCTGTCTCATGTGTTGTTTCGCCGTAATTAAGTCAAGGTCTAAACTGCAGAAATTCCGGAACTTCCAAACTGATACAGCTCTTGCGAGCATGGACCGAAGTGTGCGCCTTCGACTCGACAGAATGCACATTGTAATTGGGGATATTGCTTTCCAAGACAGTCCTGGATGAAGCACTCGTGGACATATAAAGAGCATAAGGCACGAATCCTATTCTTGCAGCAAAGTGCAAGAAGGGACCGAGTTGAGCCTAACAATCTGCGATGCGAGATGGTGGATACACTGGTGTTTCGGTTCATGTGAGGGCCTAATTACGTACATTAATCTCCCAACAAGAGATACATCCCCGCCAAGCGGGTCGGTCTTTCAAGTAGTGACATGAATCGGAAGACGACAGTGCAATGAATCCAATGAACACATAATATGGACACACCATGCCATACAATTCATACGTTTTGTAAATCAGGTTTCGATCAAAGCCCCGAGAGTAAGTGAAGCGATCCATGTCAGTCAACCCATGCGCTGCAGTTCAAACCTTGTAGGAATGTTCTCCAACCTGGGAGACAAGCAGTGTGCAAAAAGCGGACGAAGAAAAATGTCAGTCCCGCCACAGTGTCAGAACTGTACATATTTTGAGTACCCAGGTGCAAGCCGCTGCGATACCATCTGACAAATAAATATAATTAACTAGTCAATGTGGGTACGAGTATTATATATATATATGTGTGTGTGTATTCGTGGTTCTTAAGTCCTTAAGGTAAAGATGCTTAAAATATATGTCACTGCTTGCCCCGGCTGTGAGAGTCTACTTTGCTGTCCTGATGTGGGCCACGCCGACTGCACCAAGATCCAGGCAAACAGTGGCAATGCAAACCACAAAATTTGCCTTAAACGAGCTGCTGAGGTTGTTACAGAACACAACTCGTTTGTCCTCAAAAGGAGGCTGCATCCTTCCGGTCACTACCCCTATACTGACCTTCCATTGGACTGACCTTCCATTGGACCTGACAGTTCCAATCTGCAAAGCGAATGCAAGTTGGCTATGGCCTGTTCTTTAATATCTTAGCATAGCTGCACAGCCTGCAACAGCTGAAAGTAGATTTAAATCACCCATTCTACAAGAACAATGACAAACACGTCAAATGCGACAGATTGATCTCACCTATGGAAGCAGCTGTGCTCGGGACTGCAGCAAGAACTATGATAACGATTCTCTGCAGGGTACACGGAAAGCAGTCCTCAGGATGGCTGACAACAAGAAACTGACTTACGCAATCTTCTGCCAATCCAACCACTATGCTTGGGCTTAGGTCGTCCCTTGAATAGCTTTTGATCGTTTGATTGCACTTTTCACTAGCGGCTGATGAAAAAAGACCAAGCTACTCAAGTCATCTGAGTTCACAACGTGATCGCCTTTGGCTTTCACGCGTTTCCTCAAGGTATTCAAAGCCTAGTCTAGTTTAAGACCCGGATGACACACACACACACAAATTTGGGCAGATCAAGTCCTGACTGGTGCTATCATGCAAGCGATGCAAATGACCTAAGCAAATTCACTACTCTACTGACTGAAGATTTGCTTTTTTTGAGCTACTAATAGCGATGGCCTCCGACCTAATAGCGTTCAAATAGAAGTTCGTTGTGTTCTTTCTATAATTCGGCCAGTAGGCTGTTGTGGGAGGGTAGGCAGCTGGCAGGTAGCTAGACATAGCTGGACCAGCGCAAGCACTTCAGGGGAGGCACAGTATAAGCCGTTACAGCTCAGGTTCCGAGTTTATGAGGCAATATCCTCTGGGAAGATGGGTCTTAACTAGGTGTTTGTCCAAATTAACCCACTGGGGCCAGGGCAGAGGCTGCCCCTCATTGCACCGAGTCGAAATCTGCGCACGGCAAACGATGGCGTGACTAAGCAAGTAAACCACAGGACCTTGGACGGACTCATCAACATGACAGGCCTGGAAAGTGTCCGGAAAAATATGAAAATAGATTGTTAAGACGTCATGATAATTCATTAAAATCAACCCATATACAATGGCATGCTTGAGCGGGCCTAAGCTACACGTTGGGACAAATCAATCATCAACTAAGTCAAGCATTCGGTGTTTTGAGTTTTGCACTTCACTATTCAGCTCCAATGGACCGGATTTGGAAGCCATGTTGCAATGTGGCTTTGTTGTTTCTTCTTGAGCCAAAGGCTTTGATTTGCAAAGACTTTGGTTTGCTCGCCAAGCTTTTCAACGATGTCATTTGTCCGCCTTAAGTTTCCCTTAAAAAACCAGGAACCAAATCATTAGTGCGAGCGCCTCTTCAAGGAAGCTTCCCCCGCCGCCTTTAGGGAGGCGGGGGGGAGCTTCCTTGAAGAAGCGCGAGCAATCCTGCGTCCATATGTAGTAGCGTTCTTGTAGCTACTAGCTACCTCTACCTATATAGCCACTAGCGGCCTACCCCCCTTGAAAACACAATGTGCTTTTCCCAGCAGTTCCCTCTCTGGACCTATGCAGCTGAAGCTTCAGAACTTCACGAAGAGTATCAACGAGGAACGCCGAACGCAGAACGTCGCTGCAATAGGCTCCGCTCCGATCGTCTCCAAGGCGTTGAAGCTCCGCCCAACACGTGGGAGGGCAACCTAGCTCTTCCAGCACAGCCGTTCAGGCTCTGCTGCCTCTCTGCTCGTTCCAAATCATTCCATCATGGACAGCTGCAGCCTTAGGAGAGAAATAGGGCCAAACTTCTATCAAGACCTTTTCACAACTTTTCTAGTTTTTGAAGCTCATCTTGAGGGCAAGCATTTGGCACGGCACGGACTCCCACAGTATTGTTCCGAGCTTTGGGCACACCTTCGTCCTTGTTCAGATACTTTACGCGCACCTGTCATAATGGAAGGCCGCTCCAAAGTGGCACAAGCGACATCTCCACACGCAAATGAAAATTAATGTAAGGAACCTTTGATATTGTCACAAAGGCATGCTGGCAAAACAAGAACTGTGCAGTTTAAAACTGAGATTTTGTGAAATACATTGAGATTGTTGAACCTTGATGTGCTGACCCAAGCCAAGTTCATCCTATGTGGAGGCAGCTCTGTGGCTCCAAGACCATCACAAGTACGACTTCAAACAAACTCAATGAAAGGTTCAAAAAGACTAGAGACACAGGACTCAACCACCTCAAGATTCTTGAAGGAAGGTCCTCAAGGTTCGCAATGAAGCCTTCGCGAATCTCTCGGATGTGCAGCAAACCTCAAACTGTCGGTGCCAAACAAACCAAATCCAAAATTGCCTCTACTGAGATCCATAGAAGATCATAGAAGCCCTACCTTCGGCCGATTCTCCTTCAGGTGATGTGACTTGCACGAAAGCTCCAAACGGGAGAATTCGTGACACTTTGCCTGGCACGCTCAAGTGACGTGGTTTGAGTTGATGCCTTGCAGCATGCGTAGAGATTGGCATGTTGTCACTACAAGCAAGTAGTTTCAATTTTGAATATATTCCGTTTAGTTCGGAAGCATTCGTTCTTCATGTCTGAAAGGACGCGAAAAGTCTGGCAAGGCCAGGCTCACCGCTCAGCCATTGATTCTCTTCGAACCCTGAAAGATCGACTTTCCTCAGCTACAAGGTGTCTTGACTGGTGAATTTTGGCTAAGGTCCTCAGTTGGGTTCAAGCCATCGCCAAGGATTCAAAGGACCAATCTTATTTAAACTATATACTGTAACTCTTTGTGTACCTAATTGAGGCCTATTTGATCCTATTTGCAAATGACGTTCTTGCTTGTAGTAGTAAGGGAATCAACATTGAGTCCACTGCCTAGGCTTTCAAAGGCAAGAGGTAGCAGAAGAACTAAGGCCGTCTCCTTCTTGGCTCTTTCAACCCGATCTTGTCTTCAACTGTTGCCTAGGACGAGTGTCTTAGTCTTTCGTGATAGAACTGTCCATCTATATGCCACATGCTTTTTTTCTATGATTTGGATAAAGGACGTCAATGGCAAACCAGCGGCAAATTGTTAGCAAACCATGACACTTGGACTGGCCCTGCAGGAGCAGCCCTAGCACTTCTCAATGCTCAGTATGCCACTAGAAACAGTTTCTGCTGTCCATCCTCGCAACCAGGGCGTCTTGGATCTGGCAAACAATTGCAAAATAAGACAAACTGTCTGAGAAGGCATTGGCATGAATGGCGGATATGTTCAGATTCGATTCACGCGCTCCTGGAGGCATGTGCACTCTAAAGGTCTCGTAACCACTTGCGTCCAAAGGACTCTACACCAACTGAAGGTGTTGGGCTAGCTACGGTCACAAAGGCAATTCAAACACATATGGTTTCCACTTCCTAAATCGAGCTATATATATACATCTTTCAGAAAGTGCCTTCATAAAATGTCTAACAAAAAGCTTGCTGTACAGTGTATAAGTATATACGTGTATTTTAAGTATGATGTGTTTGTGTGTGATTGCATAATTCTGTAGCTCCATTGCCCCATGTCTTTCTCAACTCCCTAATACGTGTCTTTCCAATTTTGGGCTGCACTACCCTAAATAGAGATCAGGACTCCTGTATATAATTGCTGCTGCCTGTATGCTCAATTGCCTGGTGGTGTTGTGCCGTTATTGAAGATCCGGGTGTTTTTCTTTTTCGTTTTTCGATTTTGAAGATGGGGTGGGCGCGGGGACAATGACGTTTGTTTCTCACGAACTTTCCCTATTGATGTCACGTGAAGATTGTTATAGACTGTTATAGACCATCAAGTTTTGCAGCAGTATGTCCTTTTGTCCGCTGGCTCGCAAACATGAACATTGAACTTGAACCCGCTGGCTTAGACGGAAAGGCCACTTAGTCTCTTGGGATTGATTGCCATCAAGTGTCACACCAGAATAAAGAGTTCACACGTGAGATTGCAGAAATGAAAGAGTTGCCCAAGAAGCTTAGCGAAGTAGCAAGCACGCAGCAAATAGATGGGAGTGGTTGCAAATCAAGAACTTCCAGTTTCACAATCTTGATCGGAAATCCAAGAAAGGGGGGACTCCGATGTAAATCTACGGTTGAAACTCCGAGTGCATCAGTACATTGTACATGTACAGAAGGACTCTGACAGGAGAGAATCCTGGCTGAGTGCACTCGGAAAGCTGGCATCTGGTATTTCGACCGCTTTCAGGCATGTGTAAAAAAACTAGAGGGTAATTTACACACGAAAAAGAAGAATACCTGGCGCCTGGAAGCGCAGTGACGTTCCTTTACGTACCCGCCTGAAAGTCCCATAGCATACATTATCCCTGACTCTAGATTGAGCCAAGGATATCATGTTGTGTTCTTGCTTTCTAGTTCTAAATGAGCCGGGCCAAATACGATTAAACCCCTATGTCACTATGTCGTATAACTTTCTTACGCTCCTGCTTACGCTTTACTTACGGGACCACAATGTGAGCTTACGCGCCACGGATGTTGAAGAAGACCTTACGCAGATCTTACGGCATCTGCATTTTCACAAACTCATGAGAACCATTGAGAACCATACTCCCAAGGGAAATGCTTACGCAAAGGCTCCTTTTTGCAGGCGAGCGGGCGACAAACACATGAGCGGGCTCTCATGGTCCATACAGTTCCTTTCTTGACAAGGTGTGTGTGTGTGTGTCCACCCCTGGAAAAAGGGCTCCTTTCACCATTTCCATC